CAGGGGGGAGGGGGAAGTGCACGGGACTATGGTGATGGCACAGGGGTGACTCAGTGATGGGAAACCCACGGGGATTACAATTGAGATGGAAAAAAAAAGTATAAAATGATATAGAAAAAAAAAAAAAACAGTGGTCAGGGTCTTCCTGGTGGTGCAAGGGGTTAAAAATGAAACACTGTGAAGCACTCAGCAGCCACAACAGCTGGAGTTTGATCCCTGCCAGGGAGCTGACCCATATGGCCAGCAGGCCTCTCCTGAATTTGCTGCTCCCCTCAGCAGTGTAGTTCAGTCCATCTGCCTGTTCTGCTCCCCACTCTGTCTCTGGTGAATCCTCTCACCCCCTGTACTTCTGGCTTGTACCCCAGTTCTTGTATGCATAAATAAATAATTAAAAAATATAAAAGGGGCAGCAACAAGAAAAATCAAATAAAAGGGACCACAAAAAAACTGGGCCTCTAACGGCCCTTCAGTTTCATCTCCGTGGAAAGTAAGAGAGGAGCACTCAAGAGGGGGCAGCTGGAAGAAGAACATGGGGGTGGCAGGGAGTCAGAGAAATGGGCAGTGGAAGAAGAGTCAGAGAACCCTTTAATGCTAGCAATTCTTTTTGAGAAGTCAAATTTTTCCTCTTTAAGTTTTCTCTCAGCTGCCTACAAAGAGACCAATTTATCAGCATTGTTGTTAGAGGCCTCGAGATACCAGTTAAAATCAGCTTCTCATTCAATTTGTTTAGCTCTGCAATTATTTTCTAATTGAGCCTGCAAACCAACTAATTTAGGGATCCAAAAGCAGCCCCATTTGGTCAATGAAGGCTGAGATCAATCCAGGTAATAGGTGTCCAATGGACAAAAAATTCACAGAGTGAAGGGCCATTTTCCTTAATTCCAGAGGAATCCCAGAGGGAGGCTGCCCCTAGCACTTCCTGTAGGACACTCACCCTGGGGAGTACTCAGCAGAAGAGAACTAAGTCTCCCTACAGACCAGTGACAGAAGATGCCCAAATAAAGTGAGAACCTCAGCCAAGCCTGAGGATCCCGGGGGTCAGCACCAGGACCAGAGAAGGACCCTGGGGGTGGGGGTTAAGCCATGTAGCACAATGAGTTGTGGCAGCTACCTTGTCGCCTCTGGCCCGGGGAACTGGGGTTCTGAGGGTAGTTGCTCTGCATCCATTTCTCAGGAAGCGTCAACATGTGGAGGCAAAACTGTAGAGAAATAGGAGTTTATCTGGAGTCTTAGAACTTGCAATTCAGGGGAATACAAGGGTGTACAACACAGAACTATGCTTCCTCAAAGCTGGGGGCTTACGGCAGCTCACACTTAGGGATGATGGGGAGTCAAGAAAGACGTCGCCGTGGCTGTGGAACTGGGCCATTACTCAGTCTCTCTCCGCTGCTATTGATCTTGCAGTTGCAAACGAGGTACTGGGGTGTCTGGGATTTTCCATCAGACCGTACCCGGGTAGAGACACGTGTAAGGCACACTTCCTCCTCGGCCTCTAAAACTCCATTCCAGATTCCCCTGGAAACACCATTTTGCCTGCTTATTTCCACACCTCTACGAGGTATCTGTTCTTAATGGGTTAAGGAGTTGCCAAGGTCACACACAGTGACAGAACACCTGAGGGCACTTAATGGAACACAGAGAAGGGTGGAGGCTTCTGCCCCCTTGCCAGCCTGCCCAGCCCCCTCCAGGGATCCTGCCCTGCCCAGCCTGCCAGAACCTGTGATCTTTTTATTGGTATGGGATTGAATTCCCTGGGGCTCCAGTTCCGGACCTGGCCAGCAGCTCTAGTAACCAGAGCTGTGTGAGAAGAAAAAGCCACGCCATTGGGGTAGCCGCACCCCAAACAGAGGTGAGGGCTCGATGAGTCATACCAGTGAGGGGGCAACTCCCCTGTCCTGAAGGCCACTATTTGCCAGCAGTGCTGCCTCACAAGGGCCCAGAACATTGGTTTCTGGGCCCCTTTATGTTCTCACCTTCCACCTGTGCCCACAGGGTTGTCTGCTCTGCCCTCCCCAACCCACAGGTGTCCTGGAGTCAGGACATCTGCCTCCCACCCTCCCTCTGGGCCTCCAGAGATATGAGATGCACACTGGGCCCTGGGTGGGGACTTCAGGCTCCCTACTTCCCCCTTCCAGCCCCAGATACTCTCAAATTCCCAGATGGGCTCCTGCCAGGAAGGGTGGGGCTGCTCCTGGACCATCAAGAGTCCCTGGCTGCCTAGGCAAGTGACAGAGCTGTGGCAGAAGCTGACTTTCACCCATCTCGGCCACCAGCTGACTCAAATGTGCCATGTCCCAGCACCTGGTCCTCCCACTTGTGATGCTCGGTAACCTCAGGGGGCAGGGGATGGCTGCTAGGGGCCTGCACCTGGCATCTGGAAGCCAGAACCGAGGATTTCTGGGCTCTGCATCGGGAGTGGGGTGTCACAGGAGGAAGGGGAACAGCATGTCAGGAGGAGAGTGAGGTGTCAGGAGGGAGAGGACTACTGTTCTCAGGGGACAGGAAAGGGAGACGGGGTCTCCTCTTGGGGAAGAGCATCTGAAACACTGGGGCAGGGTGCAGGGTCGGGGAGGGCTCATCCTACCTGGAGGTCTCCAGTCTCTCCCTGCCTCCCTCTTTCCAGCCTTCAGTCCCATCCCAGGAGACTTCCAGGACTCAGGTAAGGCAGGTGGATGGGGGAGAAAGTCACCTGGGAGGTAGAAAAGATAGGATGGAGTAGCATGAGTGCTGGCAGGGGAACTTGGGGGGCTGGGGGGGGAGGAAAGGACGGGGCTGGGGGAGCAGGAAGGTGGGATGAGAGGAGTCAGCAGCATCTTCCTGTCTTCACCCTCTGCCTCCAGCTCTCAGTCCCACCCAAGAAGAACCTGAAGATCTGGGTAAGGAAGAGGTTGGGGTCTTTGGCTCTCCAAGACGATTAATAAGGAACGAGGTGAAGAAGGTGGTGGAAACAACCGGAACTTAGAAGAATTCCTTTGTTCTTTGTGGGGGTTGGGGACAAACTGAAGCAGGGTGGAGAAGCTTGTCTTGAGTTCCTACACCTCTGCCGTGGGGGCAGGAGGAAGCTATGACCTCCATGATCCCCTATTGCAGACTGTGGTCGCCCGGAGCCCTCTGCCCGGATCATGGGGGGCTCAGACGCACAGCCCGGCACCTGGCCATGGCAAGTGAGCCTGAATTACAGGGGGGTCCACATTTGCGGGGGCTCTCTCATCGCCCCCTCCTGGGTCCTCTCCGCTGCACACTGTTTCGTAGAGTGAGTATCCGCCCTTGTTCAGCCCCTCGCCTTCCAAGCCAAGCGCCCCAGGCAGCCTGAACCCCAAGTACTCAGGGGTTACTTGGAACCCAGCGCGCGTCTTTCGCGCGTCCTCCAAGTTAGGTGCTCAGGAGACTGGTTCTCCACCACGGCGCTCCTCCTGGCTCCCCGCTGACCCCACTTTCTCTGGCTTTGTGCCCCCACCCCCACGAGGGTCTGCGCGCTCCTTAGGGCCAACCTGACCCTGTCCCGCCTCGGCCTCGGCCTCGGCGCAGGAACGGGACCGTGGAGCCCGCGGCCGAGTGGTCGGTCCTGCTGGGCATGCATTCCCAGGACGCGCCCCGCGGCCGCACGCAGCTCCGCGCCGTGGCGGCCATCCTGGTGCCCGACAACTACAGCGACGTGGTGCTGGGCGCCGACCTGGCCCTGGTGCTCCTGGCCTCGCCCGCCAGCCTGGGCCCCGCGGTGCGGCCCGTCTGCCTGCCCCGCGCTTCGCACAGATTCGCTCACGGCAGGACCTGCTGGGCCACCGGCTGGGGCAACGTCCAGGAGGAGGGTGAGTGCGGGGCCGGGGGCCGCGGGAGGGCGCTCGCACAGGTGACGCCCGCTTAGCGGTCCTGGGGCGGCCGCGGGCGCGACGCCCGCGACTCCCGCGACTCCGCCGCCCGGCGGGGGCAGGAGGCGGAGCTTCGGCGAGGCGCTCCGGGGCGCGGCTCCGCGCCGCGTCTGCGCCGCCCCGGGGTCTGCGCGTTCCTATCTCCATCCATCTTCCTCCCACGGCTCTCAAACGAAAACTACGAAGTCACCTGCTCCCCAGCCACCCCCGTTTCCTCCTTTCCTCCCAGTTTTTTCTTTCCTGGATTGAGGATTCGACTAGAGTTCCCATGCCAGCTCTACCAGTGAAAGGCGCACTTCGCTTAGTCTGTTCCTCTTCTAAAGAATGCCTCCACCAAGCGGTGGATTAAATGGGCAAACTCCACGTGGCGTTTAGGACACGGGGCCTAACTTAGCAGGAACTGTTGCCTTCCGGGTACTAGTGCCCGGGGCGCTGCCCTCAGCATGGCACCTGGCTTGTACAGGCAGTCTGCATTTCTGCCTCTTTTTCCTCCAGACGCACTTGCTCTCGTCCTATCTTCCTCTGCCCCTCATATCTCGACTCCCCCACCTCCTGTCTTCTAACTACTTGCCTTCACTCGTTCATTCAACAAATGTTTCTGAGCACCTCCCTGTGCCAGCACTGTTAGGCATTAGAGAGGCCAGTGAACATAACAGTCAAAAACCCACTGCCTTCTCAGAGCTTGCATTCTAGTGGGTAGACTAACAATAACTTTAATAAGTAAGCAAACCCTTCCGTTAGGTATGGGGGAAACAGGCCATTTTTTCATCGCCCCTCAGCCCCATTATCCAATGCTACCTTTCCACCTTAGCGAGGCCATAGCAAACCTGCTCTGGTGAGAGCTGTGCAGTGCGGAGGCCTGTGGGTGACGCAGCCTCTGCCTGCAGGAGTGCCCCATCAGGGCAAGAGGTGACAAGGAAGGGTCATCCTGAGCACCTAGGAAGTCTGTGTGGATGGGTCAGGCCATCCTGATGATGGGCACCCAGTGCAGGAAACTTTAGGAACTTTGTCTTAGTAGGAAGGCAGGGAAGGAGGAAGACCATCCTGGGGACCCAGGTGAGGCCTAGAGTAGATGGAGCAGGTCAGGCAGCAGAGGCTGAAAGAGCTGCTGGGGCTGAACCCTGCAGGCATGAAGGTCAGACAGAGGCTTGGAGTAGCCTACCAGCTCCAGGGATCCTCAAAACAATCCCCAGACTTCCCGTTTTGACCCTGAAGTACAGCCTCCAAGGTCACCTGGCCTCTCAGGAGTTTGGTGGGAAGAAAGGAACATGGCTGCACTGCCCCCAGCTCACAAACCTTCCTTTCTGGATCCTGGCCATGTTCCCATCAAATGCAAGTTCAGGGGCCTCCCTGGTGGTGCAACGGGTTAAAACACAGCACTATAAAGCTATCCGCAGGCATTGAAGCTCTACTATGATCCCTGCTAAGGAGGTGACCCACATGCCCCCCTGTTCCCTTTAGCAGTTGTGTTTCAGTGTATCTGCCTGTTCTGTTCCCCATTCTGTCTCTGGTGAATCCTCTCACCCCTTGCACCTCTGGCCTAAACCACAGTTCTTGCATGCATAAATAAATACATCTTTAAAAAAAAAAAAAAAGCAAGTTCACTTCAGGAAACAGCTGAGTTCCCACGTGGAATCCATTGATTGTTCCTGGATCAGACAGAGCTGAGCTTTAAAACATTCCCTTGGCAACGCTGAGTGGAGCCTGGGTTGGGAAACAGACCAGCCAAGTGGCTGGGCCAGTCCTCCAGGCCCAGGTTTATGGCTTCTGACCTGGAGCAGTTGTTATGAAAAAGTCAAGGAGTCGCAAATGAGAAGCTCTCTTCCCCCAAGCTTTTTCCAAGGGGAGTTACTGAACCTAAAGTTCTATATACAAAGTGGCCTGGGCCACTTTTCTTTCTAGTATTTTGAGAAATGCGTAGAGTGTCCAAAAGCAGCTGCTCTAAAATTAAGAGAAAGTCCCCACTGCACATTAGAAGAATGGACTGGGGAATTCATTGGGAGGGAAGTTGAAGTAGGCGTTGGGGGTGACACCTGGCTTGGCAACTTGGAACAGGGACACACCTGGTCTCTGTGGTAGCATCTTTATTGAAGAGGGTACCCCCGCAGGACCGGCGTAAGCCACTTCTCCACTCACAACTTAGTGACTGTGGGCATCTCTGTGCAATGTGCCACCCCCATGGCAGCTCTGACCATGCTCAGTGTGGCAGTTCCTGAAATGGGGGTGTAGGAAGAACAGAGAGGAGCAGGGGACCATGGCTGGCTTTGCACGTCGACGTCGTGGGCTGAGGAGCTATGAAGCATCTAGATAGTGGTGTCTTAGGGCAGTGGGAGCCCTGGGGAACAATGGGCTCCAGACCTGCCTCACAGCACTGGCTGTCTTCCACAGACCCCCTGCCCCTCCCGTGGGTGCTACAGGAAGTGGAGCTAAAGCTGCTGGGAGAAACCACCTGTCAGTGTCTCTATAGCCGGCCAGGCCCCTTCAACCTCACGTTCCAGCTATTTCCAGGGATGCTGTGTGCTGGCTACCCTGAGGGTCGCAAGGACACCTGCCAGGTGAGAAGAGGCTCTTCCACCTGCCTGGCAGGACCAGGCAGAGTGCTGAGCAACAGGAAGCAATGTGAAGGATTGACAGAACCCATCTCTCATATGTCTGAGCCTCATCTGCAAAGAGAAGGCAAGATCATACATGGAGAGGATGGGGATGAAGATGATAAATGAAGACAACTTGGGGCTCAGCAGTGGGCACTGTTATATGGGGTGGGGTGGTGCAGTGGTTACGTGCCAGATTCTGGAGTCAGACTGGCTAGAAGCCCAGTACCACTATTCACTAGCTGTGTGACCTTAACAGAGTTATAGCTTGGTAACACTATGTCTTTAACCCCCGAGCCACTAGGGAGGCCATTCCAACAGGATTTATTGAACATAACCAAAATCTATATACAAATGGCCTGGACTTGCTGCTTTAAAACGTGATCCTTTCTTACTATTTTGCTGTCAGTCCAAGAATGTTAAAAAGCAGCTTCCCCTAAAATTGAAAGTATCCAGTGCACATTAAGTGAATGGCCTAGCTACCAGAACTTTAATACTTCCATAAGAGACTAATTTGCAGGTGATGCAGGGGTAAAAGTCTCATGCTATCAAGCTGTCCACCACCACTGCAGTACTAGTTTGATCCCCAGGCAGGGAGCTGACCCACATGACACAACAGACCTCGCCTGTCTCACCTGCTGCTCACTCCAGCAGTGTATTTCAGTAGACCTGCCTGTTCTCTGGTGAATCCTCTCACCCCCAGGGGCACCTTTGGCCTACACCCAGGTCTTGTATGCATAAGTCAAAATAAATCGTCAAAAAAAGAAAGAATTAATGTGTAACACAGAGTGCCGATGACATGAGACATCAAGAGGTCATTTTGTGCTCTGTCACTGTGACGCCATCAGATTTCTGGATTGGAGTTTTCCCCAGGAATATCATCAGGATCATGCCATTGAGCAGATATAGCTCATCTGACAGGGTGCCCCAGCAGCCTAAATTAACTCCTTGTCACCCCAACAATGGAAGAACTCTTCATTGTGTCCCCCAAGTGCTGCTCCAAGGTCGCTTCCATGCTACCCATCATCTGCCCCTGCCCAGGACGCCATAGCACCCCCATTCTTTTTCACCACCTAGATGGTCCATTGCTAACAGCCTCTTCCCCCTGAACGCTGACCCTCATGAAAGACCTGCGTGATGTATATAGATTAGTGCTCTTGTCTAGCAGCTGAACAGCCTTTGTACTTTACAAGACTTTCCTCTGTTTAGAGTTGCGGGGTATACAGAGGGCAAGGCAGGGTGCTCAGAGCAGGTGGCTGTATGTTGGGCCAACAAGAGAGATTGTAGAATCTGTGAGGTAGCTCAATATAAGTTGGTGAGTCCCCAGACTGACCTCTTGACACTGAGTTATCCATCACAGGGAGACTCTGGGGGGCCCCTGGTCTGTGAGGAAGGCGGCCGCTGGTACCAGGCAGGAATCACCAGCTTTGGCTTCGGCTGTGGACGGAGGAACCGACCCGGAATCTTCACTGCTGTGGCTTCCTATGAGGCATGGATCCGAGAACAGGTGATGGGTTCAGAGCCTGGGCCTGCCTTTCCCACTCAGGCCCCTGAATCCCAGTCAGGCCCTCAGGAGCATGCAGAAGAGAACTGCACCATAGCCCTGCCAGGTGAGCACCCTGGGTGTGAGCTGAACATTGGTAATTTGAGTTGGGTGGAAACTGCCAGGGTTCAGGAGGTGCCTGACCCAGACCTCTCACCCCTCAGAGTGTGGGCAGGCAGCGCAGCCAGGGGTCTGGCCCTGGGAAGCCCAGGTGACGGTGCCAGGATCCAGACCCTGCTATGGGGCCCTGGTGTCTGAAAGCTGGGTCTTGGCGCCGGCCAGCTGCTTTCCCGAGTGAGTGAAAACCCACGGCCTCAGGCACTCCCTGGCCCAGCCGTTCCCAGGGTGGGGTCGTGGGCAGGGAAGGGGTGGGAGTAGGGGGAAGACAACTCGGCTGGAACACAGGATCCCATTGGGAGTGTAGGATCCAGCTCGCAAAGTGGAGTCGTAATCTACGGGGAGCCAGTAACGGGGTAGTTTAAGTTCAGTCGCGAATGCAGGGATCTGAGTGCACAGTTCTCAGACCCGGGGCGCCGATCCCAGCCTGGAGATCTGGAATCTAAGCCGGGGTGTGAGGTTTCCAGCCGAGTGTGTGGGATCGGTCCACGTCCCCGGCCTCCTCACCCCGCAGCCCGGTCAGCGCGGCCCGTCAGCCGGGAGGCCTGGACGAGTGGCGCGTGCTGCTGCCTGGGCGCCCGCGCGCGGAGCCGGTGGCGCGCCTGGTGCGGCACGAGAACGCCTCGAGGGACGCCGCCTCGGACCTGGCACTGCTGCAGCTGCGCGCGCCCGTGAACCTGAGCGCGGCTCCGCGGCCAGTGTGCCTGCCGTATCCCGACCACTATTTCCTGCCCGGGAGCCGCTGCCGCCTGGCTCGCTGGGGCCGCGGAGGTGAGCAGGGTCCGGCGGGGCGCGGCGCGGCGCACGCGAGGCTGATCGCACCGCAGCACCCGCTCGCCCCTTTTCCGGCTCAGAGCTGGCGCCCGGCCGCAACACGCTGCTGGAGGCGGAGCTGCTGGGCAGCTGGTGGTGTCACTGCCTGCACGGCGGCCGGGGGGCCTCGGTGCCGCCTCCTGGGGACCCTCCGCTGGCGCTCTGCCCCGCCTACCAGGAGGAGGAGGAGAAGGGCCGCTGCTGGGTGAGCGGCGGGGGCGGGGCCGAGCGGGGCGGAGCCTGAGAGGCTGGGAACCGAGGGAACGCTGCGGCCAGGTGCGCTGCTCGGGGTGGGAGGCGTGGAGCCACCTGCCTTCGGGGAGGGGCACTCTTGGGAGGTTCTGAGATGGGCCCCGGGCGACGGTGGGCCTTCGTGCTACCCCTAGGTTTAAGGAGAATCCAAAGCCTGATGTCTTTTACAGATTAGGACTGGAGCCTGGCCTGGAGGAGGTGGGGCTTGTTTTTGTCCCCAGAGCTAGAGTCCGGGAAAGCACAGGTCCTTTGTTCTACTCTCACCAACTGGTACACACACTCTCTTGCTGCAGAACGACTCGCGGTGGAGCCTTCTGTGCCGGGAGGAGGGGACCTGGTTCCTAGCTGGAATCAGAGATTCTTCCAGTGATTGCCTGCGTCCCAGGGCCTTCTCCCCCCTACAGACCCACGGCCCGTGGATCAGCCATGTGACTCAGGGAGCATACCTGGAGGACCAGCTGGCCTGGGACTGGGGTCCTGAGTGGGAGAAGATTGAGACCCAGACTTGTCCCCCACACACAGAGCAGGGTGGTGAGGAGGAGGGTCTTGGAACTTCGTTCCTGGGAATGTTTGATTCATGGTACGGGCCTCCAGCTGTGGGACTCCTCTGAGGTGGTCACCTGCTCTTCCTAGCCTGTGGCCTGAGGCCAGAGCCTGCTTCCATGGGGGTCCTGTGGCCCTGGCTGGCAGAAGTGCATGTGGCTGGTGATCACGTCTGCACTGGGATCCTTGTGGCCCCAGGCTGGGTCCTGGCAGCCACTCACTGTGTCCTCAGGTGGGTCTCACCCATCTCCTGGGCAAGAAAGAACTAAGAGATGCGTCAAGGGACTCAACAATAGTGGGATACTCTCGCTTTAGGCATTTACAGCACAGGGAAACCACTAGGAAGTATTGTGAAGAAGTGAGATTTGGAAGAGGGAATAATGAAGGGGTTAGTGGAATCACCCTGGAGATTCATTCCACCCTTGCCTCGAGGTTGGGAAGGATATTACCAACCAAGGGGCTGTGGGCAGGGCTCTCAGGAACATGACCTTGGGCCTTGTTCCCACAGGCTGGGCTCTACAACAGTGCCTTACATTGAAGTGTACCTGGGCCGGGCAGGGGCCAGCCCCCTCCCACAGGGCCACCAGGTATCCCGGTCAGTCGTAAGCATCCACCTGTCCCGACACCTGGGATTTCGGTCCCCCCTGGCTCTCCTGAAGCTTAGCTCTCGGGTGGAGCCCTCCCCGTCAGCCTTGCCAATCTGTCTTCACCCCGGGGGTATCCCCCTGAAGACCAGCTGCTGGGTGCTGGGCTGGAAGGACCCCCATGACCGAGGTGAGAGCCCTGGGTCCTGGGCAACAGAAGTGACTGAAGGTCAGAATCCCTGGGACAATCCTGTTTCTTCTCTCTAGTCCCTGTGGCTGCTGCTGTCTCCATACTGACACCACGTCTCTGTCACTGCCTCTATCAGGGCATTATGCGCCCTGGGACTCTCTGTGTCCTATATGCAGAGGGGCAGAAGGACAGATGTGAGGTACAAGCACCTGGGCATCCCAGTCCAGGGCGGGGAGAGGCAGTGCTAGGTAAATGGACCCTAGAAAGAGCAGGATTTGAATCTTGGGTGCTAGACCCCAAATGGGAAGAAGGTACTTTGAGAGAGACCGAGGGGTCAGGATGCCACAGATAGAGACAGTAGCGCTTTGTGGCTGGATCCTAGGGGACAGAAGAGGGTAACAGACCCTTTGGTCTCGGCTCCTACTCTGCAGGTGACCTCTGCACCTCCCCTCCTGTGCCAGACTAATGGAGGCACCTGGGCCCTCATGGGCATGGCTGTTCGAGGGACCCAAGAGCTGTTTGCTGCCATTGGCCCTGAAGAGGCCTGGATCTCCCAGACAGTGGGGGAGGCCCATTTCCTGCCCTCCAGTGACTTCCCCCACTGGTCCCCTGAAGGCGGTGACTTCTGCCCCGGGGATCTGGCAAGAGCCTCAGGCTCCCCTCAGGTTGCTCTGTTCCTTTTGCTTCTGACTCTACTGATCCAGGACTGAGGATTCCACCCCCCTCTTCTCCTCCTCCAGTCCCCCACTTCCTGCCCAGGCCCAGAGGAGTTGGAATGTGGCCCAACTGGCTCTCTCCTTCCCTGCTGGAAACTGGAGAGCACCCCACCCACTTAGAAGGCAGCCGCTTTGGGTAATTGAGCCTCTGGGCCCTGCTATTCCAGGCACTGGAATCCTTGGGGGCAGCAAGAGGAACAGACAATAAATGGTAAACACTGACATGTGGCCTTGTGGCAATTCTGGGGGCAGGCTGAAGGGCTGAGGGAAGTCCAATGGGGTAGGGCTCCTCCCTCTTGGGGCTGGTGAGTAAGGCCTTGGACTCCCAGGAAATGTGTCCCTGATAACGTGGCAGTTGTCCCTCATACCTGCCCCAGGGCGGGGGAGGTGGGTAGCCAGCTGGGTGTGTGTCACCTCCCATGGATCAGCGTCCCTGGCACCTGCCGCTCACACAGACCTAGTGTGGCCCCTGCTGCCCATCCCCAGGAACAGAAAGGACTGAGGGTCAGCGGCAGGAGGAAGGTCCCGGAAGCTGGACGTTCAGGGTCTGTCCACCATTTCCTGTACCCATGAGAGCCACCCCTCGTACACGCCCTGAGAACGATGCCCCAAGTGTGTATGAATCCTGCACCCCAGTGTGCACCCTTGTGTCCTTCCAGGGTCTGCCACTTTCAGATTCTGCCTGGGGGCATCATGTGCTCCCCCATCATGCACCCCTCGTGTGTACATCTCGTGACTTCTCCCAACACCCCCAGGGCCCCCCCCCTGCATTAGTTGAAGCACTTATCCTGCACCTACTAGGTCACACTCAGTGGGGATCAGATAAGCCCAAGAGATGCTCCTAATGTGGGGGGAAACCTAAGGACACCTCTGGCTGGGGGTCAGGAAAGGGTCCTGGAGAAAGTGAAGTTTGAGTCCATAAAGAGGGCAAATGGGGTGTTTGGGGTAGACACCGGCTGGTGAGGGTGGCAAAGAGGTCACCTTTGGGGCTGGAGTCAGCATTCTGAGCAGGTAGAAGGTGGCAGAGGCGTGTCCTGGGGGAAGCTGGACGTTTTCTTTGGGAGATTGTGGGATGGACAGAAGCTCTGCAAGGGCCTTCTCTTCTGAAACAGAATATTCCTCAGGTTCCTAGGGACAGACAGCTTCTCAAACCCCATCAGTCACGCATGAGCCATCTCCACATGAACTTAACACCATCTCACAGTGTCCTGTGTCTTGCCCCCCATCTCCCGTCTCCCAACCTAGACCCCTTCCTGAGGCAGCTTCCAGACCCCCATGCACTCCAGGAATTCCCTGTCCTCCAGCTTGGGCTGTGAAGTCCTGGCTCAGAAGTCCAGGCACCAGGAGATAGGCAGAGAAGTGGGGCTCTCTAATTCTGAATCTTGAAGTCAACATTAATTCCCGTTGCCCACAGATTCACACAGAGGATACAGCTGACCCCAACCCAGTCCCATAGGTCTCTTTCCCCCACCTGAGAACTCTGCCTGGAACACCCTCCCGGTGTTGACCTATGTTCACCCCTTTTCAAAACTCCTTTAGGTCTCATTTTGAAAGGCACTTCCTTGAGGAGCCCTCATGATGCCAGCCTACGTCAAGATCCTGTGAATAGGCTACCATTCTTGTCTGTCGTTGTCATGCAGGGTGGGCGGGGCCAGGGCCTGTTTTGTGTCCTGTGCCTGGAACACAGTAGGCACTCAGTAAATATTTGCGGGATGATTGGCACTGCTACTCATCAAAACTCATGCAGATGAGGCAGCTGGCGCTGCAGAGGGGCCTAAAATGGGGAGGACCCCTGTGTTAGGGATCAGATATAGCCTTAGGCAGAGGGAGGAGCAATAGTGGCCCTGTGATCTTAAGGCTTGGCCAGGCCCCGGGGCATAACTGGCCTGGGAGACCTGGTAAACCTGGCCCTAGGAGTTGCTGTCCCAGCCCTGCCTGGGGCTGCTGGGGAGGGGGGATCCTTCCTCCCACTTCCCACTCTATGCCTGGGGCTTGGGGAGGACTCAGAATTAGGGAGGCTAGAGAAGCTAGCTGAGCTGAGCAGACTTGGGCGGGGCCAGTGAAGGGGCGGGCAGGTAGGTAGATTCCGGGCTCAGGCTGGGGAAGGACTCGGCTAGCCAGCAGCTGTGCGGGAGAGGAGACTGGCTGGGACACCGAAGCCTCGGTGCTCCCCTGGTGCCCACCCCCTGCCTTCAAAACCAGCCGTGGATATCGGCTCCCTGTTTCGGCAAGGATTCTGGGATCCCATTCCTCTGGCCCTCACACCTGGATCTCAACTGAAAACAACCCTAGGTCCCTTCCTTTGGGTGCCTGGTGTGTCACCCTTAGGGGCTCTCGGCCTGGCCATGGCCCAGAGAGTGGGTCTGAGGCCTGGGCGACCGGAGGCCGTGGCCATTCTGCTTTTGCTTGGATTATTCCTGTGCAGCATGGGTGAGTTGTGCCGCCCAGGTGCAAAGCAGGGGGGAGGGGGCGAGAAGAAAGGCCGGTGTGAGGAGAGGGGGAAGGGCCGCTGATGCACTGGGCCTGGGTGTAACCCTTTTCTGGGGAGCACACCTCTTATCCAGGACTCCAAAATCCCCAGCCTTAACCTTCTAGCTCTGGGCCGCTCCCAGTTTCGTCAGGGTTGGCCCTCCGTGGGAGGGGCCCGTCCAGTCCAACTTCAAGAACGGAGGGACTGACAGGTGCTGAGGAGCCTAGGAACTTTGGACTTACCCCTCCCTTTCTCTTTTTTCCAGGAGCTGATGGGGCTGAAGGTGAGGCTGATCTGGAAGCACATGGGGGAGGGGAGGAGAAAGAGACTTAGATTCCTGTGGTTCTTAAGGAACCTGCTGTTCTCCCACGTTGTCTAAGTAGCTCTCAGAGAGGAGTATTAGAGGGCTCGTTTCATGGATAAAGAAGCTGAGGTGCAGAGAAGTGACTTGCCACACATCAGTAAGTGGGAAAGCTAGGATTGAAACCCAGGACTGACAAAAGGTGGGTCATTTAGAGGGACGCGCGCTGAGGGGTCCCTTCTAAGAAGGCACACACCCCAGAGGGTTGCTCTCTGCCCTAGCCTCCCCACTTACTGGCTGTCTGTCTCTGAAGTCGATTATGTCTGTCTCTGTCTCCTGGCTGTGGGGATCGCAGGAGATAACACGAAGGCCCCTTCAGGGCCTGCCATTGCCGACAGTCACTAAATAGTAGTGTTGTCATTATGAGCAGGGCTTGAGGACCTAGCTGGGCACTTTTCACCGCTCCTGAGGTGACTTTGTGAAGGGCAGCTGGGTCTGGGTTCCCACTGAGGCAGCCTCAGGGGTGGGACTGCCCTGGAATCTAGATCGTCACACTCTTTCACACAGTGAAGCTGTTCTGTCCGTTTGTTCCACGTCCATGACCTCATCTTCCCACCCCAGTGCTGGGTGCTGCGGACAGAACCCTCAGGTGGTCGTGGCTGAAGCAGACAGTCATAGACAGAACAGTTGTATGACCAGAGAGTGTTTGGGAGGGGGGTTTGGGAGTGAGGAGGCAGCCTGCAAGCTCTACTGCAGGGTGGGCAGGCTCTGTAAGGAGAGGCTGACATTTGAATAGTCTCCATAGACAAACAGAAGTCTGCTGAGCAGAGCAGGGATTAGGAAAGACATTCCCGACAGAGCTGAATAAAGAAGGTCTAGAGGCAGACAAATGCTTTGTGGCAGAAAGTTCCAGTGGAACAGATAGCAGTGTCATGGGAGGTCTGGGGTGCGTCTTAAGACCATGTAGAATCAGAGAAGAGTTTTAGTTGGGGTATGACATACCAGACTTGTGGTTTATAAAGAACTATACACTTGTAAGGGGTGAGCTGGATGGGCGGCAAGAAGGCCTGAGAAAAAGGAAGCTGGATGGGGCCTGAAGTAGGTCCAGGGGGACAAGGGGCAGAACTGACCATTGATGAGGAGTGGGATGGGGACAGAGGGGTGGCTGGCCCTTGTACTCACTTCCAAGTTCCAAACGTGACCCCCTAGCCAGAGTGGCAGGACTAAGGAACTTTGGTGGGGACCCCAGGAGTGCCTGATGTGTCACACCCCTTCCTCCCCGGGCAGTCCTCTGCGGCGTGGTCTCGCAAGCCCGCATCACAGGTGGCAGCAACGCAGCCCCCGGCCAGTGGCCCTGGCAGGTCAGCATCACCTATGATGGCACCCACGTGTGCGGCGGCTCCCTCGTGTCTGAGCAGTGGGTGCTGTCTGCGGCTCACTGCTTCCCAAGGTACCAGCTGGGTGACGGGGGCAGTCGAAAGTGGGCTGGATGGCTAAATTCAGTGTTGTCAGAGGTAAGGGCATTTGGGTGTTCTAGGGGAATCAACAGTCTAAAAGGGTCAGTGAGGAGTGCAGGGCACAGGCCACGGGTCACAATATAAAACTAAACTACAGTTTAGGGCCTAAACGGCCCTCTCTACCTGGCACTGGAACCAGGTCAGATGCCACAAGGCAAGAGGCGTCCAGGAGCCAGGAGAGGTCTCCCTGGCCCTAGCCTTTGCTCCTCTGCCTGCAGGGAGCACTACACGGATGGCTACGAGGTCAAGCTGGGGGCCCATCAGCTGAGTTCCCACAGCTATGACACCGAGGTCCAAACCGTGGACCGGGTCATCTCGCATAGCAGCTACCAGCAGGAGGGCTCCCAGGGCGATATCGCGCTCCTCCGGCTCAGCAAGCCCGTCACCTTCTCCCGCTACATCCGGCCCATCTGCCTCCCTGCCGCCAACGCCTCCTTCCCCAACGGCCTCATGTGTACTGTCACGGGATGGGGCCATGTGGCCCCCTCAGGTGAGGTGGGCGCTTCGTCTAGAGGTGCAGAGGGGAGCTGAGCTGTCTTAGGGGAGGATGTCCTGGATAAGCACCTTTTACCCTCACAGTGAGCCTCGAGGCGCCCAAGCCACTACAGCAACTCCAGGTACCGCTGATCAGTCGGGAGACGTGTAACTGCCTGTACAACATCAATGCAAAGCCCGGGGAGCCCCACACTATCCAGCAGGACATGGTGTGTGCTGGCTATGTGAAGGGGGGCAAGGATGCCTGCCAGGTAAATGCAGGGGCTCCAGGATGAACAGATGAGACAAGTGCATCTTGGGGGAGGGGGCCTGGGGTCTGATCTTAACAGCTGTTGCATGCCTTTTCTCCTCAGGGGGATTCTGGGGGCCCACTCTCCTGCTTTGTGGAGGGCCACTGGTACCTCGCAGGCATTGTGAGCTGGGGCGATGCTTGTGGGGCCCCCAACAGGCCAGGTGTATACACTATGACTTCTAGCTATGCCTCCTGGATTCACCATCATGTGGCAGAGCTCCAGCCTCGTGTGGTACCCCACATCCAGACATCCCAGCCTGACGACCACCTCTGCAGGAACTCTCAGTCCTTCAACTCTGCCCCGGCCCAGGGCCTGTGGGGGCCCATTATACTGCTGCCATTAGCTCTGAGCCTGGGCCTCCTCCCCGTGTGGCACAGGCACTAAGCAACTCTCCCTGGGAGCTGACCCTGCCGCCAGGACTTCCACGCGCACCCCCAGAATGGACTGCGCCCGCCCTGACATTCTTTGGGCCTTGGCCTGGCATGAGCCATCCTTCCTCCCAGGACCCTGTGGGAGTCCAGCATGCCACCCTGACCCGCTCTTGTGGGTTTGCCCTTTGGACTACAACCAGCTGGGGGCCTGCCTGCCTGTGGTGTCGTGAGGACGTCTGCCGGCCAAGAGCCACTGGCTGGGCTCCTATGGAGCCACCAAGGGAGCCTTAGCTGTGAAACCCGGCGCCGGCTCCCTCGTTTCCAGAGACTGGGCAGCTGACTGCTGCTTGAAAGGCTGGCTCCAGGGCCCCGCCTGCCCGACGAGCCCGTCACTTCACCTTCTGGTCTTCTGCCCTGGGTTGTCTCTGGGCAGCTGTCTTCAGGCACAGGAGGCCTCAGTCTTGCCCCCTAGGCTGCCCCCTTGAGCCCCTAGACTCCGGAGGACTGAGCCCCCACCGGAACTGGGCTTAGATTTGGATCCGGGGTGGGGACAGAAGGAGCAAGGAGTAAAAGGTTTTGAGCACCACTGGCTCTGTGTGACGTGAAATGAAGATCATCATCTGTTGGCTCCTCCCTCCCGCCTCCAAAGTCCGGAGCCACCGACAGAACTGACTTTATTAAAAAAATGACGGAACACGTCTGTACATATTTACAGGCTGGGGGCAAGGAGGCGCGGTCCGGCGGAGGGGCTCCAGCCGCTCACTTCTTGGAGAGTTTGGCTTGCTTGTGCTTGGGGGGTGCCCACTTGAGGCAGACAGAGTCCACTGTGGGAAGAAGAGGCATGAGAGGCTGGGCTGGCCCCAGGCCAGGTTTCACCTCTAGGTGAGAACAAGGGCAACTAAGTGTGGGGAGGGGGCGGGGAAGCCCAGGAATGAGTAGCCTGCCGCAGGCTTCAGTCCCCAGAGCTGGTCAGACTGGTTTGGGATCATGTGACAGAAAAAGGAGGCCCTGGCTGCCAGTGTCCTCACACCTGCCCCCCCACACACACACTCCCTGGGCAGCCCCCCACCCACCTGTTATGGGTGGTTTCTTATACTGGGCACTTTTGAGGTGCTCTTCTACCAGCTTGGGTGTGACACAGATCACATGCTGGCCTTTCCAGTACTTGACCATGTTGAGGGACTGCAGGGTGCTGATGATGTCATTCTGGGTGATGCTGGTCATCTGGCTGCAGAAAGGGGTTTAGAGCAGAGGCCGCAGAGTTTCCTTGCGGGGTTCGGCTGGGACAGCAAAGGGGGTAAGGAGGCAGGATCATGGCCAAACTGAGAAGTGGCCTTTCCTCGGAGGGTTCCAGGAAGCCTCCCTCACCGTCCACAGACAGCATGCCCGGGACAGGGAATGGGGAATCTCACCTGAGGTCCTTGATGGACAGTGTGCCCCGGAAGTCTCGCAGGATCTCCAGCAGGACCCAAGACCAGTAGCTGCGGTAGCTGAGCTTGCCCAGGTCAGAGAGCGGCTTCTCTGGGGAGCCCACTGTGCTTTCGAGCTTGGACAGCTCGTAACCTAGCAGCGTGAGAAATGAGAAGCCTGAGGACCCAGCCCCTAACACCATCACCCGACTCAGGTGTCCCATCCTGGGCGGGCCAGGAGGCACTCACTGAAAGCAATGAGGAACTTTCCATAGCCACGGCGCTGGTAGGGGGGCAGGGTCAGAATGCAGGCCACATTGTTCCCATCTGGAGACTCCTTCTCCTGGGGGTGGATGGTCAGGGCCTCTGAGGAGGCTCAGCCCTACCCAGTTCATACTCCCCACCCTCCCTCAACCTGGGCAACCTGACCCGGCACCTTAGAGAAGTAGCCGACGATGTGGGCCCCCTGCCTGTCCACCTCTGTCAAGATGTAAAATACGAAGGGCTCCACGTCAAAGTACAATGTCTTGTGGTCCAGGAAAAGCTTGGCCAGCAGACACAGGTTCTGACAGTAAATCTGAAGGGTGGGGAGATGGAGGGAGACTCAGAAACAGGTACAATCCCCTGCTTAGTCCCTGAGGCCTGGCAGGAGCTGCCGCCCTGCTCTGCAAGGGCCAGGCTCCAGACAGCAGCTGGTGCTAGCCGGTGAGAAATAGGCTTCTTGCCAGAAGAGTAGTATTTATGACCAGGAAGAGTCTTACAGCCATTTTCTGATGGATAAGGAAATGAGCAAAAATGAGTTACTCGTCATGGCTCCCACGTCCACGTACTGAAGGTGAATTCAGCCTTCACAGACTTGAACACGTTTCAGATCAGGAAACTGAGGCTCAGAGACCAGTCTCTTGGAGCTGGCGGGAGCAGGAGCACCGCTAAGTGCAGCCAGTCTCATGAAGAGCCATGTCCCCACGCCCAGCACCAGCTGAGCAGGAGGCTGGGCTGGGAAGTGTTTGCTGGTGGTGAGCCGCCAGCCTCAGTCCAGCTTCATTCCGCGGGGCTGGCCCCTGTACTGAGCCTGACACCCACTCCGGCCAGAGACCAAAGTCAGGAGGGACAAGAGTACCTCGTAGTCAGCACCCTGGCATGGGTCAAGGAGCCCTGACGTTTCCACACCTTTTACACCCACTCTCGCTTGACACAGCAACTGTGTGAGCCTGGCATTGCGAGCCCATCTTCAGAAGACCAAAGCTCTGAGAGGAGAGGCACTGGCTTGGGCCTCGGAGCTGGCCGAGGGGAGGGCGGAAAGAGCACCCACGCCTCGGGCTGGAGCCCTTTCCACCTCTCCCTCTGTCTGTGCTCAGGCTTGGCCAGGCTGAGAGCACCGGTCCCCACACTATTTATCACAAGGTTGGCGATCCCAATAATGTCAAAGCCTGTGTTTACCAAGCACCTGGTCAGTGCAGGCACTGTGCTGGTGCCCAGCACTGCCCTCTTACTGATTCCACTAACAGCTGTGTTAGATAAACATCAGCGTGACTCCTGTCTTCATGACGCGTCTTAGAGGTGAGGAAACAGGAACAGTGTTAGTAACCTGTCTGAGGCCAGCTAGAAGTGACAGGTGACTGGAAGCAAAGAGGAACTGGGAAGTCACCCTGTTCATCTTATGATCTGCTGCCCTTCCATGGGCAACGAGGACCCTTGGTGACACCCTTCCAGACTGACCAGGCAAAGCCAGGTTCTCAATGCAGCAAAGCAGGTCCCCTAGGCCCCACCCTGCCCCACTGAAGTCTCTGGGCAGGAACCAGGAACTCAGCCACAGTTCTCCCCAGGGGTCGGTCTCACATAAAGTGCTTAGTTCCCTCCCAGGCAAACACACCTCTCCTCAGGCAGAAAGCGAAAGGGCTTTCAGAAGCAACCTGAGGCATGACGATCTCTACTCTGGGTTCCAGAACTACTCAGACCTAAGCTACCTTGTCAGAGAAAAGTCCTCAAGGACAGAATAGAAATGGGCTGGCAACACAGGACTGTGTGTTTACCATGCACTGACCCTGAACCAGGTGCCAAGTGAACACCAACGTCAGGCCTTCGCCAGGGAGAGGCTCATTCTACCCTCCGTGATGGTGAGGACGGTCCAGGAAGAGCCCAAAGCTCCCCCAACTTTCCACAGCGCCTCAGCTCACCTTGTGGTCTTTGCCATCTACCTCGTACACAGAGATGTTGCTTTTTCGATAGATCTCCTTCCCTGGGGGCTGCCGCCACTGGCACTGGCCCTGGGGGGAGGGGAGATACAGGCTTGAGCCCTAAGGTTCTGTTAAGTGCCCCTTCCCACACCGTGTGGTCTGCATCAAATCTCTGCTGTCAGTTTCCCCATCTGCACACCCCGAGCTCAACACTTCACTGCCGTGCAGTTGTTCTCCCAACGACCAGATGGGACAGTGTCATTCCCAGATGAAGGAAGCGAGACAGAGGCCAAGCATCTGGCTTAAACATCACATAGTTAAGTCAAGTCCAGATCAACCTGGTTCTAGAGGCCTCTGGAAGGCCCTCATCCAGGACAAGGGCATCTCCCACATGCACACATGCCCCACACCCCAACTTTGGGAAACGCCCTGCTGCACTAGCAATGAGCACCCCACCAGACACTCTGGGTACCATTCTCCCCATCTGTCTCCATCTAGAGCCCCACTGCTCAGGAGCTGTGCTAACTCCCTCCTTTGCGCCAAGCAAGTCAGGGCCAAGCTGCCCTTAACAGACACTGTGAAAAGCAAGGGCCCTAGAAAGGGCATAAGGGCTAGGATGACCGTCCCCACTCCACGGAAGGAAACTGAAGCCGGGGCGGAACTGTCATGGGGGCTGTGGCCAAGGCAAAGCCAGCCCAGGCCTGAATCCAGGTTTCTGGAGCCCAGGGCAGCTTTTCTGTGTCCTCGACTCCTCTGGCCTTTTCCCTTAACTGCTGCCTGAGCCGGGTACCCCCAGCCTTGACACCTGCCCCCCACCGGGCTGGCCAGGCCCAGCCTCACCAAGTGGAAGCGGTAGCTCTTCTCGTACTTCATGTACTTGAGGCAGTACTCGCAGAGCCAGAGCTTGGGCTGTTTCCCATAGTCCTCGGGGAACGGGGAGAAGTACCAGGCATCGATTTCATAGTTCCCAATGTGGATCTTGTCCACATACTTCACCTTGGTGATCTGCAGACAGGTGGCAGTGGTGGACAGTGGGTAGTCCAGTTGGGGCAGAAAAGCAGGGGTGAGGGTTCCCGCAGTCAGGACCCCTCTCCCCACTTACCGCCTCATGCTCCTTCTCCAGGGCTGCTGTCGTGGGGTCCATCTCTGCATAGGTCTGGGCAGGGGAGAAGTGGACAAAGGTGAACAGAAGTTGCCGTCAGGCTGTTCCTCTCCTGTCCCCGAGCCCAATGTTCCCTGTTTTCCAGACCTCATCCCCTGAGTGACATTCATAATCACACAAAGAGATAATTTGTTTTACCTGGTTTAGAAGCTCGCTGGTTCAAACTCTTCTCCCTTCTGACCCTACCCACATATCCCAGCATATCCCAAAGCCTGAGTCTGGGCCTTCTACGGGGTAATTAAGGCTAGGATCAGGAGGCCTGGCTCCGGCCCTCAGTTGACAAAAACTTCAACTGAAGCATGGGGTTGACCCGGCTCTGCCAAGCTATTGTGAGATGGATGAAATAATGGAGATGGTCTTCTCTGCCCACAGCAGCAAGTGTTGCCAACTTCCCCAAGTGCCTGTACCTCTTTCCTGAGCGTGAGTCCTGGAGAGCTGTCTGCCTTGGAGGCTGCTCTCTGAGACCCCCCCACAGACACATCAGACTCTAGGTACCCAGAAAGGAACTCAACTTTCCCTTCCTGCAAACCTTCTTCCTCCTGGGTACCCCCACCTCATGGGAGCATCACCCTCAGTTCACCTGCCCTAGATCAGTAACGGGCCTGCTCTCAAGACATTTGGCATTCAAATAGCTGCCAAGTCCTGTCTACTCTATCTCTTGCATGTCCCTGGAATCTGTTCCTCCTGGAATTCTGTCCCACTCCAAATGATGGCCACTGCCACCATCTTAGATCTGGGCAAATGACTGGAGACTTAGATTTCCAGTCTCCAGCCCACACTGCTATCAACACCCCTCTTTTCCC